GATAACCGGCTGCATAATTGTATGCGTGTTTTCATAAGGAATGCTTTTTCTTGATCACATCTAACGCTGTTTCACGCAGGTCCATCGATTATCTTCAGTTTCTCGAGAGCACACAGTGTTTTCATTGTATGTCCCAGTGGTATGTTACAAATGCCAAGTATATACGTAGCATCTGATAAGAGCGAACGATACTGAAATCGTGGAGTAATAAGTCATGTTAAGGCCAACCATTACACGTCGGGTTTCAGCGGACATGGGTTTTTGGTGACTTTAAAAATACGATTCTTTTTTATTTTATTTTTTACATTCGTGAGAGATATTCGAGGTGTGGGAGTCGAGAGTGGGAAGAGCACGCTCTTTTATTTACAGCCGTTGTGTGACTTTGCATACATTTTTTTTAACATTCATGAGATAACATTGGAGGTTTGGGGGTCGAGCGAAGAGTACGCTATTTTAGAAAGCATCCGCTTCAGCACCTGACACGTTATTAATTTGAAATTGTACGGTATATCATATGATGCATGTTACATAATCGTAGACATGAAACACCTTGGTCGCCCATTTTGACACAAAACCTACGTCGTAGCTTACACGTTTGTAAGTTGACTCACCTAAAGTTCGTAACAGCCTGTACTAACCTCCCCGGCCGCCCCCGTCGTATGCGAAGGAACTGCCCCAATTTTATGAACTTCAACGCTTGGTGGCAGCAAATAGGCCTGCCCTTATTCGATCATTACTATTGTTCTGAGAGAAGGGGCAGAGGAAAGAAGACAATGAAGCATCTTCCAATATTTAGGGTACAGTATATATACGTCGTGTGATTTTGGGTAATGAACGCACTTTGACTTTGATTAAAAAGCAACATGCAAAACCTTTGGAGACCTTTGGTTTGTAGAGACCGCATATGCCTACTTACTATTACCTTTCAAAATAATACAAGCCATCATTTCAAGCTCATCATTAGCGTAATAAACGGGGGCATGGGAGCACCACCCAACCGACCCGCGGCGCTCGAGGCATATGTGGTCCCACTTACCCCTGCTCATAATTCGGGGCAGCGGCGTAGTCACGGGGCATGGGGGAACAAGCCCCCCCCCCCCCCCCCCCACACACACACACATACAAAAATCGTCGCCCCTCCACTTGAATTTTGTTAGTCCTGCGACCATGGTTAACGGGTTTAACATAAACCCCCCCCCCCCACCCACCGTAACATCCAGGACCCCCTCCTTGGGGAGAATCCTAGCAGGCTACCCCGCTGATTCAGGGTAGCCCAAAATGAGCTTTGTATTGTTGATACCCCATAGAGTGCTCCCTCTAGACACCCAAACGAATTGCCTCATGCAAATGGAGCCTAGTTACGCCAATGGAGCAATCACCCCACTCAAGTGCCCGCCCACTCTCGATCTCTGTGCCCTTAATTCAGATCGCCCCAAAAACATCCCACATAAACTGTCAGAGGCATACCCAACCTCCTAGTACTCACTTCCTTCCAATGGTGTCTCCTTTCCGTCACCAAATTTACAGCGCGCCGCTAGTACGAAGTTGAACAAATACCAATTGACTCCAATGAATAGTCGCCGTAAAGAAATTTAAAGACGGGCATAAAACGAGAAAGGTGATCCCATTCCAACTCGCGAAAATAACCGTTTCGTATTCACCGTATCCCGATCAAAAGAGCCCACAGAAAAACACGAGAAATCTCGGACAGTGCAGGAATTTTACGAGTGTTGGCCTAATAAATGGCTCTGCCTATAATTTGATCACCTTTCGCCGGAGGGCCCGTGATTTATTGATCGATGGTAAGCCTAGAATGCCATGTATTTTGGAGCAATATAAATATGATGAACTGCTTTTTTTGAGATATGGCCAAGAAAGGGCCCGCAGGGCACTACATCCAAGATGTGTAAGGTCGGGCGTAGACCCCGTTCGCGGGGATTTAAGTGCCGTGCTCTGGCTAGTATTATCATGCCCGCGTTTGACTGCGATTGCCGGTAATAAGATGGACGATCAGTGTGTCTTATGGAATCCTCGTGTGTCTTTTTCGTCCGTACTTTTAACTAGGGCAAAGGGTCATTCCACGCTTAAGGTTACCCAAACACGTTATTAAGGTAATGCAGCTACGGAGTGCATATAGATATGTGTGACTATTTGTTTGTGGCATTTATCCTGCGGGTATTGAAGGGATGTTTTAAAACTATTTGTTGATTTAACAAAAGCAGTCGAGTAATTTTACATCGATCTAAAAATGATAGGATGAATTTTTTTTCTCAGTTTTAGCAACATGTAAACTTATGTCAATAACCTGGTATTCAAGTCTGTTTTACCCCCTCCCATGGCGTTGGAACAACGCCCCCATTTCCTCAAAAATATGACCTGATAAATTAATCACTGGATAATGTATGTGGCCAAAAATGCACTTAACTATTCTGTCAATTTAGGTGAATCTCCCGTCTTTCTCCGTTTTATTGATTAAATTCCCAATGTTATTCTCGATCTCCAACATCCCTTAAAAGTTTATTACACTGACAACGCTGACTGCACCTTTAAATGTTGCGCGCGCGAATCACATTGCTTGCTTCTTGCGGTCACAGGTGCGCAAGCACAATAGCCTAACCGTTTGTGCCAAGAAAAAAAGCCACAAGCTTAGACCTTGTCTGCCGTTGGTGGCGTAGTTGCTATGCACGGTTATCTAGTCCACAGCTAGCTAGCTATTCGCACGCGTTTAGTGCCGTGTCCGTGTACACAGTGGTTTTAGTTTGCAAACAGTTAACGTGTATCTTACACGCTGTCAGTGGGAAACAGGCTCAAATATTTTCTTTTTGCGGATAGCCCAGTGAAGTTTCTGGTTCTCGACATATGGTAAGTCAACTTTACGAGTTAGTAATATGAGGCTTGAAGTTTGTGGAAAGTTTGAGGTCGGGTTATTGAAATTGTGCCGGATCAAAACTCGGAGCTCTTGGGGTTTTTTTTAACCTCATGCTTCCGAGATAGCCCTGTGTAAACAATATGACTTCCCTAATTATACCTTCATTTGAATGAATGCATCTTTAATTTGGCAACTAGTTGCACTTTATAGGGAGAGGGTACATCTTTGATGAAGTGGAGACGTATAAGGAATCAAAACAAAAAGGGGGAAAAGTGTTGTCTGTGGTCTACAGACTGTAACCTGAAAGCTAGGCAACCGCAGAGATGAGCTAGGTTCTAGAAAACCAGACAAACAAATAGTCTTCCTTGTTTAGCCATCTATTTCAAGACCTCATTTCGGTCCGGTACAAATGACTTCCTTAATTGCTTTTCATTGTTTGCTCTTATCCTATTCGTTTCCCCCGCCCATTTCCTCACAACCGTTTAAAAAAAATCTCGTCAACAGAAAGATAGAATGTGCGACAGCGCAATCCCATCGCAACCTTTGGTCCGGAGTCAAGTGTTTTGGGGGCGAGCATGTTTTCATGCCCCCCACCCGGGGCATTTGCGCAAATTGGACGGCGCGCAAGTCGCACTCGAGAGCCACTAATGTGCCGGACGAGTGGTCCTCTGCTCGGCGCCAGGGAGAGACGGTAGATAAAGGATGAAAACTCCCTTCTGTTTCCCCCCAATCTCGCCTGGGACTTGCAACGGTCGTGGGTTAGCGTGGGGTTTGCGAGCTGAACTCACCCCAACATACGGGCCGAGATTGATTGTTTCAAATTATGAACTTGGCGACGCTTCATGTTGGACGCTACAGTACCATAAATTTACTTGGGCGGGAGATGCACATTACTCTGACGTAATTAATCATCGTGTGGTTGCAGTGTCTCCTATTTGTTGTACAGGAATTAAATCATTGTCAGATCTACGGTTCTTAGCGGCGCAATATTATGCGCTGACTTAATAGCACTGTCGAGCATCATATAGCTACTAATTAACTAGTGAACTTCAAAATTTGATGGGGCTTAACCGGCATGAGCTCTCCAACCAATTTCAGCAAATTGTCATCTTGCTTGAGTCCCTCATAACAGGTGCTCCATATCAATTATGAAGGGACTGTGACCAGAATTGTGAAGGCTATGCGTGGTAAATCTATGGGTGCGTTCGAGTAGCTTCCCCGTGTATATACACAGGGTTTACAAGCGAGGAAGCCATAAAAATGAGGCTAATCGAACACTGCGGTGTATTCGCCTGGCATTCTGGGAAATATAAGTTCAAAGGTTGTTGCGGGGCGGGGCTTTAAAATGTAAACACACCAGAAGGCGTACTGTCGTCTGCTCTACTGGTAAATTAAGTTCGATGTTGTAACCAGATCAATAATTGCCGAAATCGTAATATATGCTCTAAATTATCAAAAACATGTCTATCAAATTTGAACACCGTAAATAATTGGGAATATTTGTGTCATAAATCTCTCTATTGTACTTAATTCGTATTCATGTTCCCGCCATGCATATTCAATCTAGCTAGCCAGGAAATCGTCCGGCTACGTTATCACACCCGGGCAGCCACCAGAGACCCGCTAGCGAGCTGGGGCAGTGGTGGTTGACATGACACCATGACGCTAATCGAACGTGTAAGCTAATCGAACGCACCCTATATGGTTTACAGTTTGGCGCACATTCGATATAATCATTGGAAATGTTGGTATTCTTTTTCTCTCATTTCTACCTGCCTTCTTATTCCAAATTGTATATCTGTTTGGAACGGTTACATCCTTTACTCTTTCCCGTTTTTCTTTATTATTCATAAATTGTTATACTTAAAGTAATACTTTCATGTATCATTCGTACAATCATCAGCCGCAGTACAGCAGCGATACAAATCCAGCAAATTCCCCCCCCCCCAAAAAAAAGCTTCTTGAAATTACTGTTCATGGAGGCAGAATATAACGACCTTGTTTTAACATAACATGTCCAAGTTGTCGAGCGCCATTTAATTTTCATAAGCGTGAGTGCATTACCCTGCATATAATTATGTCTTTCTTTGTTATTATTATATTTTTTTTTGGTCTTCACATTTATCTACAGCTTCAGGTCCCACAAGTCTGTTCAAGTCTTGGAAACAAATCGTGACCAGAATTGGTGAGTACTTCCTTTCGTTCTCTGAATTTGCTCATTTCAGTCACAGAAATCTTGAGAAATGGAACCCTTTCATTGATTGAAAATCATCCCTTAGGGCATCAACACAGTCGGGTTCGCATATACCTTGGTCGATCATTAATTCACTTGTATCTTAATTGCAAATGAAGCAAAAGGTAGCATTTCGTTATGAGTAACTCGCTGTCACCAAACTACACTTACGATGATTTGATTTTTAATTTTGGTTTCTCAGAATATTTCAAAACGGTGGCTTTAAAATGTCTTCTGTTTTTGGATTTTCAAAACTTTGACTTCGTCGCTGAAGCCTAATTGCACATATCGATGAGTGATATTGCTAGATTTTGCAAAAAGAACCTTTGATATCACACCACTTAAAAGCCAAAGAAGGCTTTACTTTGGCAAAACAAAACTTGAACAAACGCTGGCTTGTTTTACATCTGAGAAATAGCAAACCCGTTAATTGGGTTCCATTTGTTTTATTCGCCTTCTGCTATGTTCCACACCGCTAGCTGTGCTCTGGTCTAAACTGCTAATGAACAACTCTTCAAGGCTTTTTCCTCTCCTCTCCAAGACAGCTTGCTACACCTCGCGTGTCAGTTCTTAGTAAGATGGGTTAAGTGTTTGAATGCCTCGAAACATGTTCGGTCCACACTGGGTACATCATTCCGTCACCGACGTTTTCTCTCTCACAACACCACAAACACCACTAGGTCCCGCTCAACGCTCGGCCTGCTACAACCGTTTCCGCTCGAGCCCTTTTCCCCGTGTTTACACACGCATTCCGAGACTTCTTTTTCAGCGGGGAAAAAGAGGGGCCTGAGTGCTCGATAAACTTGGCCCCAGAACGATAGACCCTTCAGAGCACACGCGCTAATGGATGCCGACTTGACACGATCATTGATTTTTTCTCCCCGCGGCAAATTATGGGAAATTCCACCTTGTCGGAGTGGAGAAGTTTAACAACAGTGCAAGGTGTGCCCTCATTTACCGTACGAAAATGGCATAAATGGAAAATGAAACACATGCCATCTCGTCCGTTTTTCATATAATCACCTGCCACTTTACTCCATATTTGCAATCTTGGATCCCATTTAAAGCGTAAAATCCAGTTATTAAAAATTCATGAGGGAAAAGAGGACTCGGTCATGACTATGCGCATATTACAGTTAAACCACTAGGGCAGAGGTGTAAGCCTAATGGTGAGAGTTTGTTTGAGGGAACAGCCTAAAATTCCATATGACACTCAACAAGAAATGTACGTCAATGATACGTTACAGCAGCATGTCGTGACAAAAAATATATATATACTAAGAAGTAGTCTGGGTAATTTTGCGTGTTATAAGTAGACCTTATAGTTGTATGGACCAATACAGGCACGCTATCAGTTCCATCACAAAGGCCCCCTGTAATGGCGAAGGCATTGCGCTAGCTATTGTTGAAATAATGATTTCGCCATTGAAGGGGTCACGTGTGTACAGTGATCACTGACCGGATATGTCTAGACCAACAACCGAAGTGTCGGATTTGCCAAATGTCTTCTTTATTACATTATTACTTCTCAAAGAGTTTCCCAAACTAGTCACGATGTGCTGTAGTATGTTTTGATGGAGTCCATGCGTTTTGTCCACTCACGGGGTACCCATTGGTAATACAAAACGCCATTTAAAACCTTACAAATGTATCTATTTGGACACCATCTCTCTCGTTCATGACTTAGCATACCGTGCACACCACTTCGATGTCCCCATGTTCCCTTACATCGTGTGAATTAGGTAAACTGTACTACCTCCGAACCACTTAGAGGGGATAAAATGAGACAAGAAATGTACCAGGACAAAATGAAATACCTCAAATCAATATTGAGCTGTGGCGTACGGAGTGTCAAATTCCCTCACTAACTTAGAAATCGCTTACACCACAAAATGTGATCGAGCACGTTCGTTTTTGTTTGGACAAAATATTGCACACGGTCTGAGGAATGTCCGATATCGAACTGACTTAGATCCTGTCTTTCCCTAAGAATTATAAGCTTCGTTGTGCATTTTTTTTTAAAAAGGTCTACACACCCCACAGCAAGAAGTGTGCTAATCTTCTTCCGATGTGAATGTCCTACGAGAAACTGAACAGATAACACAGTGTGTAACAATGCTTGCCAATGGCACAGCACACTTAATCCTATGCAATTTTTTTTAAGCAAAACTTGCAAATGACGTCAGCGTCTCCGAATAACTAACCAACAATCGATCCCGTAGAGAGTCGTTAAACCTCCAAGTCTGTGTCTGAGACGCTTATCAACAGCATTTTGTCTAAAAGCAAGATCACCGCCCCTTTCAGTTTAGCTGATCAAGGGTCTTCAGTGGATGGGATCTTGCGCTGATATTTGGGAAAGTAACTGAATTAACTGCACCGGAAAATTAGCAAAGCATACTCACTTGGAAATTGCCAAATCACAGGCAACGGTTGACAAGATCGGATGGAGTGTAATTGCGAAGTTGTCGTTATTTTATTCCATAAATGTCACATTCCGTCCTGCTAAATTGCATCGTGAATTGCAACCGAATACATAATTTTCGCCTCGCTGCATTACGTCTCATTCCTCTCTTGCATGGCTGCTCATCAAAAAGTCTGGCGAAAGGAATTATGTCACATACCAAAGACATTAATGTTGCCCAGGGGCGTCGAGTAGGAAACGTATATGTTTGCCAAAGATACTGTTTCATTGCGTTTACGAAACACATCTTTGTGAACTAGTTTTCGAGAGCTTATACAGAGTTTCATAAGTTTTAAGAAATCTTCAAGTTTCAACTTTTCGTCTCACGACAAGGGCGGATCCAGGGGGGGGGGGCAAAATGGGCCATGCCCCTCCCCCCCAAAAACGAAACCATTTTTTTTTTTTTTATGTGACATCGCAATAAAGGCAGGCAATGAGTACACCACCATCTTTTCCTCAAAAACACATTGGTTAAAGTGGTCAGAAATTGCCTCAGATCGCACCACAGAGCATCTAGAATCCAAAAAATTTTCGGGGCCCTTAGGCGGGCCCCGAACCCCACGCCGTAATTTTTTTGACCCACTTTTTTTGACCAAATGTTTTTTTTGCCCCCCAAAAAATTGTGTTCTGGATCCGCCCTTGTCTCACGAATCAACAAATTGTACTTGCAGATGTAGCATCGAGTTCATTATTGGTGTTTACCAAACTGCAGGGGCGGATCTAGCCCCCCCCCCTCCCCGGTTGAGCCGCTGACTAATGTTATGTTACTAGTAAAATGGTGCCAAAAATAATAAATGGAATGCTAAAGTTCCTAAAGTTATTCTCAAACTGCTTTTGAGAGCCGTGGAGTGTCATGGTCTTGTGGTCTGGAGCATTGTCTGCTCGTGTCTGCGGGTAATTCTGCAGGTTGTGGGTTCGAGTCCCGCCTGGGGTTGTGGTGCGTGTGTCCTTGGGCAAGGCCCTTTGTCACTCATTGCTTCTAGATCCCCACCCAGGAGTAAATGGGTATAGTGAGGGCAGAGATGGTTATTGTGATTGATTCTAGCTGCTTTGCGCCGAAATGGCTGCATCGAGCTGTATACTCCCCAGGGAGCTGACATTGTATTTGGAATGTTTCATTGGCCCAACGGGTAGGGGTAATAATAATATAAAGCGCTTTGATCTTAAGTAGTATTAGAATGCAGGAAAAATCATCGTAGATTTCAAATTGAGGGCTCATGGGGGCCCGGGGCATGCCCCGGACCCACATGAGCGTGTAACCCCGCCTTCATAATCAACCCCCGTCTCCTGCAAGCTAGATCCCTGGGTTATTTTTGAAACATGAGTAAATGTAAACATATAACAAGAAAGCTTGATATGTATCATAGGTGTACCGACCAAGCTCCAGTTTCCAGTAATGTTGTGAATTATGAACAGCACTATGTGATGATATGATACTGTAGATGATTACGATTCATCGTACATTGTCCCGTGATTCGAGAATTCGGTTAAACAGCCCAGAATTGGGCTAATCAGCACTCATATTCCGTGACCGCCCCGAGAGAAAACGCAAAAGGAAGTTTGAATGTGAAAGGATCTCTCCCTATGAAGGAAATTCCATTAATGGGTCATACCAAATGCAAGATATACTAGACCTAACCCTGGACAGTCGCCCCGAGTGCCTGGATCTCTCGTACAGCCCTCAGAGAGAACGAATTCAATTAAAACAGAGGCTGTAAATGGCCGGGACATCCACTTTTTATTGACTTCCTCCGGAAAGGGAGAACATGGTCCTGCCCAGGGATGTGTTCTATTTCAACGACTGGAAGTCAAAGTCAACAGAACATAGCCGTAGGTTTGAATGCAAGACACCGTACACTCACTTTTAGTCCGCGGACGTTGTTCTTTTTTTTTTCTTTTTCTTTTTCTTATAATGGGTGTGTGTTCTGAGAGTTTGATTTGATCCTCCGTGTTTTAATAATGTGTCGTCTATGCATGATACCGATAGACATGACGGAGCCTGAAAAAAATGCAATCTTTCTGATGTAGACTCTAAAAAAAAAATTGTAGATCATGACTGCAGTTTATTGATATGACCGAAGGGTCTTAACCCGATTTCGTGATTATCATGACGAAAGCGGTTCATGTGCCTAAGGAAATCGTTCAAACCCAGACGAGTATGAATCGATGTGGTTCCAATCTTATCTGCGGCACCCATTAAAATTAAAGTTAGTATTACGCATCTCTATCCACGTTTGTGATTGGCTGAGGAAATGTTTAGCCCTCCTTTCGACTCGAGAGGGCGCCCGTCATTTTTCTACAGTAAATTAAATTAGTGTGGTTGACGACCGCCCCGCCTACACACTGTTGTGATTTTTTGTTCATCCCCGAGCGATCTACTGTGTCGCGGCACGAATACGGGGCGTTTACTCTGTGGAAATCAAATAACCGCGAAGAAAAAATACAGGTGTTTTTTCTGGCATTATTCAATCATTTCAATTTTGCAAGCAGA